GGAACTAAGCTCAGGGTTTGTGATAAGTTTCCGCTTCCCCCCCCCCACATACTCACCACCATTGTAAAATTAAGTAAAACAAAAGTTGTAATTCTAGAAGTGCCTCAGAAGATCAGATCTATAATTCTGCCTGAAATTTATTAGTGGAGCTGACCATATTTTTTGATAAGTAGTTCAAGACTTTTTTTAAATGTTTCTTGCTTTAAGACACTATTTTTCTGTGCATGTTTAATGTCTTTCACTCACTAGCAGCTTATAGTGTCTTCTAGAGACAGTATTTTATTTATTTATTCATATTTATTTATTAGATTTTTTTAAAAAAATCCCACTGTTATTATTTGTATAATAACTCAAGGTGGTGAACATACTTAATACTCCTTCCTCCTCCTATTTTCCCCATAACAGCAACTCTGTGAGAGGCTGGCTGAGAGAAATGGACAGGCCCAAAGTCACTCAGCCGGCTTTCATGCTTCAGGCAGAACTAGAACTCACAGTCTCCTGATTTCTAGACCAGCACCTTCACTATAACAAACTGGTGACTATATCTATCATGGTATCAAACTAGCAGTGATGAGTACAGCAATGGCTGGTTGATGGGTTGAAAGTGATGTAGGTCATCTTCTTTGACTTTAATTAGATTTAAAACTGAAATTTATTCTTCTGCACACATCACTTTCTCTTTTTGTTTTTTGTCTGCTTGTCCTACTTTGGTGTATTAAAGGAATTTAGAATATAAAATTGATAATAGGCACGTGATCATTTGTATTCCGTATCAAAGAAGAAATTTGCTTTAATCATCCATTCCTCCATCCCCCCGTCCACAAGCTAGCAAACAAACAAAAAACACCCCGAAAAGCAGTGCTTCCAGTAGGTTTTGTAATTATAGAAGTGAGAAATCGAAAAGCTAAATCACTTTAGGATAAGCAGTTCTCTGCAGTCTACAGCCACTGGTAATAGAACTGTTGTGGGGAAGCTGATGGGCCTCCTTCAGATTCTAATTATGGAAAATATTATCGAGTATTTGCTGGCTTCAAGTTGAGGAAAATAGTGACCTGAAGCAGTGGTGGGATTCATTTTTTTTACTACCGGTTCTGTGGGCGTGGCTTGGTGGGTGTGGCAGGGGAAGGATACTGTAAAATCTCCATTTCCACCCCACTCCTGTGGGAAGTTACCACCGGTTCTCTGAACTACTCAAAATTTGCGCTACCGGTTCTTCAGAACTGGTCAGAACCTGCTGAATACCACCTCTGGCCTGAAGGCCAAATCTGACCAGCCAAGCTCCTAAATATTGTCTTTCTCCTGACTAAGAACAAACAACTTTCAGATGAATGATCATCATATGGGAACAATATGCCTTTATAAAATAGAGAGAAATTAGGATTCATAGATCTTAAGTTTCAAACATTAACATCTTAACTTGGATCTGATCTAGAATAGAATAGAATAGAATAGAATAGAATAGAGTTGGAAGGGACCTTGGAGGTCTTCAAGTCTAACTCCTGTTTAGGCAGGAAACCCTATACCATTTTACATAAATGGTTGTCCAATCTCTTTTTAAAAACTTCCAATGTTGGATCATTCACAACTTCTGGAGGCAGATCTAATTTAAGAAGTAGGAGGAGTTCTTCATTGAACAAACTGTAATGTATTTATTTGCTCATTTATATTTAAGCAGACCTTATAGGACACAGCCTTAGCCCCATTGTCTTTCCTTGTATGCACACTTCTTCAGATAATCCCCTTATCCAGTGTGCAAGACTTTCTCCACATCTGAGTTCCTTCAGGCAGAAATCTCTTCTCAACTTCTGCTTTCTTTCCTCACATAGACATTGCTTCACAAGGATTCAGATCATTGGTCCTTTTTGTGGACACATCAGTGCATTTTCCTTGACAATATTGCAGAAGTGGCTTGTTAGTATTTTCTTCTGGGATGCTTTTTGATTTCCCAGTGGATTTCTAAACCCTGGCCTTCTGTGGCGGTCACTTCTGCAAATCCTAGTTAGGCCTATTCCTTAACTTCCCAACCAAATTAAGATTAGTTAGGAAGCACTTTAGTACGAGCTGAGTATGCCTGGATAGTTGGGATTATTTTCTTCTACCCTATCAGTCCAATCATCTCTGTCATTTTGCAGAAATGAAAAAGTTACTGCAAAAGTATTGTGTAATAAATGTAGAGGAAAGTAATTTTGCTTCAGTGCTTCATGTATGCATGCTCACTGAATTTTGCTAATGCTTTCAGTTTTTCAAATGAAGATCATAGGATAAAATCTGTCTATAGCTTTATTGAGCAGCTATGTTAAAAATATTAACATACTAGAATGTCAGAGTCATAATTTAATCTTTCCATTTTGTTGCTTGATTCTTTGTAGAACTTTTCTGATATAATGCACCGATTATGAATTCCCTGACCTTTATCTGTCCTCCCTCCCCCTGAGCATTATGACATCTTGGGTGTTAAGTGGATGACTACCAGGCGGTATCCCAGCTACATAAAATAATCATGGCATTTCATTAGAAAGGAATGTCGGTGTCACGATGAGTAAATTAATACAACCCTGGATTCATGTAAAGATGCCTGCAGCTTCTTCCTTTTTTCTCTCTGTATGGTTTTATGGGGAAAGTAGATTGGTTACTCAGTATGAAAACTCTTGAAATATTCTCAATGCAGTTCAGATTAAGGAGAATTTGGACTTTAGGATTAAACAGCTGGACATCAGAAAATGAAAGATTAGATTCCCTAAATGGTATTTCCGTTTAAGAATACCTTTTGGGAATGCCATTAGTGTCTGTTTTTTTTTCTTCTCTAAAGTTTTAATTTTTTTTTAATAAAAATTAAGTTCAATGAATGGGAATGTATATAGCTAAATAACCCATCTGTCACTTTCCTCTGTTAGTCCAAGCAAAAGTGGAGACAGAAGGAAAGGAAGTATTAAGCTTTTATAACTTATCTGAACACAGAAACATTCAAGTAATCCCCACACAAAATAAAGGGGGTGGGGGAAGAAAGAGAGGAACCTGTAGCAGAGAGAAAAGTAGTTCCCTTATAGGCCAGGATCCACTTTTGTATCAGATCAGCAAGGTGCATGCTGTTAAAAGCGAACTTTCATAGTGGGATATGTTACAGATGCACATGAAAACATTGTAAACATTTTTGCAGATTTGGGACTGTTGCATTAAAATATTATATTTGAAAACTTTACATACACACAGTTGTCCATTGGGAACTGTTCAGAAAGAAGAGATGTTACCACATACCGTATTCTTTGACTTGCCTTAATTATTTAATTTTTCCTTTTTAAATTATTTGATTTAGGTGTTGCCTGACTACAGAATGACTCTGGGTAGCTCACATTGTGATAAAGAGAATAAAATACAATACAAGTCAAAAAGAGAAAACCAACAAAAACATGATTTATTTATCGTATGGAACATTTACACCACATGTCAATAAAAACGCAAGAGATAAAAATACAAAACACAAAGCATAAAATCTAAAATATTATAAACATATGTCTAGATTACAGATATAATTTTTTTCTTTATTTGTCACAGCCAGGAAATCAGCAAAGTCCCCATTTTAGGTTCTGTTCTAGTAGGCTGACGCTATATGTTGGATAGTTTGTTTTCTGACCCCACAGTCACAATTCGGTTGATGGTATTTTGCCCCACTTATAGAGGGCAGCTGTACATCTACTGTGACTAATGCGAATTCAGTTCAGCATTATCCACATTGCACAGAGCTAATAAAATTCAGGTGGTTTTTCCAAGATAAAAGGCAAACTTTGACAAGAATAGCTGAAGATTATTGATAAGTCCCAGCTGTCAATGTTGACTGATGTAGCCTGCCTGGAGCGAAACAAGTTGAGATCCAGACATCCAGCTATTTTTACTGCTAAAGTACTTTTTAACATACACAAAATGTATATGGAAATAACATTGGATAGAAAATTGCTCCCCAACAAAGACAGATAAGAAAAGGATAAAACTAAGATAGTGAATCTAGCTGACAACACAAAAATTTATATCAGCAAAACTCATAAGGGCTCCAACCATCCTAACTCAGTGCTTAGGACAATAGCCAGGTGTTTAAGGCTCTCTGGAATGCTATCAGGGTGGGAGTTACCCATATTTGATAGGGAACTTTATTCCAGAGGACAGTGCTATATCAGAGAATGCACCAATCTCTTGGGTTCCAAAAAAATGTTTGATTGAAGGGACCTGAAATGTGCCAACACTGTTGGCTTGTGCTGGCTCCAGATATCACAAGAGACAGATGGTCTGTCATGAAGAATTTTATAATCAGCACTTTATATAGTACCCAGAAGCAAACCATGTTCATCATTGTCCATGCTGCTGCATTCTGACCTGTTGACGCTTCTGAAGGTTCTTCAAGGCTAGCCCCATGTAGAATGCACTACAGTAGCTGTATTATAAGGTAATCAGAGAATGAATGACTGTCTGAAGAGCCTCCCTATCCAGGAAAAGGCATAACTGGCATATTAGATAAAGCTGTGCAAAGTTCTTGACCACAGCTACCACCTGCTCACCAAGCAGGAGCTATGTGTTCAAATAAGCAATCTCCTCTAGTGTTATCGACTGCAAACTAAAAAGGGAAAGTTGAAGAAAGGTGATAATGATTCAGGACTGTTGGTCCAAGAATGGCCTCTTGAGAAGGGAGCATATCTCTGTTTCTTTCGATGTTTTGTCCATGTTTTCATTGTATTTGTCAATGGTTAATTTGAAGAATAAATTTGTAATGGCGTTATTTAAAAGACTTGTTGGTGTTCTGAGAAATTTGCATGGATGTTCTTAAAATTTGGATGATTAAAACCAAACAGTTCTAAAACCTACAAATCCCATCTTTGGAAAACAAAACTGTTACAAAATGCTTTTAAATCTTGATTCTTGAATTTCCAGCAGTTATTTCCTTTTTATCAGTTTGAGAAACCATTGAGCAAAGCCATACCATTTTTCATTTATGGCCATTTCTCTTTTTCCAGGCCTTGTCAGCCATGGAACAATTTCGGAACCTGGATCGTGACATTGAAGGGTCTGCCAAGCGCTGGAAGAAGTTTGTGGAGTCTGAATGCCCTGAAAAGGAGAAGTTCCCTCAGGAGTGGAAGAATAAGTCAGCTTTACAGCATCTGTGTATGATGAGAGCACTACGACCTGACCGTATGACTTATGCTGTCCGGTGAGTTCATAAAGTTCTGAGCGATGCCTTAGTCAATAGAGTGAAACTCTAAGCTTCTGATGTGAAGTACCCAAGAAATGCCAGATGAATCATATCTCTTGTCCTTCTAGAGTCCCATTTCTGGCTTACAGTGAATCATTTTTAATTCTGCACTGACTTTCTCCTCATTTTCCACTTAATCAGAGTAGACTTAATAATGTCCATTTATTCGTTACCATTTTCAGATTTGATTGTCTGAATGGGATGCAAATGATACACAATTTATTGTCATGGTCTAGTCTGTTTCCTTTCTTCCCCCACAAATAAATCAATACCGGGTGGTTTTCTAATTAAAAAACAAAATTTCCAACATTACAAAAACTCAAAATTAAATAATTATTTTTTTAAAAAAGCCAGCCAGATATGTTAAATATGAAAAATGTTAAGCCACTTTTGAATGTCAGATTAAACAATGTTTATTTTCTACCTAAAAGGAATATTTCTAAATAATATGGAGAGATGGAGATCTCTTCAATTCTATTCTCTCAGAATGACTGATTATACAGAAAATTTATTTCTGTGTTTCCAGGTAACACAGACCATAAGAGTTTGCTCAACATTTGTGAGCCAAATTTTAGCTAGCTTAAGGTCTTGACTAGTGCAAGGCACAATGATGTTCTGATTTATTCTAGTAAGGATATTTTCTATTCACATTAGTTTTGTGTTACTGATACCTGATGGTAATAATTGCATTATCTTTGTCATGAGTCTCTTTGAAAGTATCTTGTACTGCTGGAAAATTATGCTATGTTTCTCTAATGCTCAATTTCCCTTTGATTTTTTTTAAATACATGCAAGTAATTTTTCCATACAAGGTAAAAAATTGGGTAGCTTTATACCACAGCATCCCAACTTGATGATCTGATGAATTTGGTCTACAGTTTTAGGGTTTGAATACTTTATTGAGAATTCTTGGACTTGTAATAATATCTTTGGTAAACCCAAGACAGAAAAAAGAAAATGCGTACTTTTAAATCAGTTTTGATTCCAGGTAACTGCCTGGTCAACCCTCTACAATTTTTGGGCAACATTTGTTCTTTTTAGAGCTGAGAGTGACTGACCCAAAGTCAACCTGCTTTGAGCCTAGGATTAAACTAAAACCTACAGTCACCTGTTTTCTAGTCTGGTATAGTAACCACTATATCAAGAGGAGAACAACCATGCACCACAGAAACATCTGAGCAGGTATTTCTTCAGCAACTTTTAGAATAAAGGACCCTATCAATATATTTTATTCTTAAAAACCATTCAGTCAGAAAAGATCCCTGTACATAATAGAAAATACTGTTTATATCACAACAGTTATGATATAGACCAGTGATTCTGAATCTTGGGCACTTGGGCTGGGGAATTCTGGGAGTTGAAGTCCACCCCTCTTAAAATGGCCAAGGTTCAGAAACACTGATACAGATACATATCAGAGTGCTTTTAGGAAATGGAGCAGTGGCTAAGTGGCTGGAATCTAGAAGAAGGAGCATCCATCTTACAGTATCCCTGCAGACTCCACTTGTAGAAGAGGAATCATGTCAAAATCCCAAACTTCTTCCCTAATGGATTATAAATTCTACAGAAATGCTCCCAATAAAATATACATAAACCTTACATTTTGCTAACATGAGCCTCTCTTCAACCATTTAATTAAATCATAACAATTACTACAAAGTTATTTTTCCCCCATGTTGATACCGACAGTTTTGCATTTTGTAAGGTTTTTGAATTGTCCCAGGGGCATTTTATGCAAGTCAAGCATCAAGTTAAAAAAAAAGCAGGATGTCAGTTTAAACAATCGTAATAATTACTGGAACTATCCTGTGCAATCCTCCTTGCACTCTCCTGGCTTATTGCAAAATGAAACTGCTTTTACAGAACGGTTTCCTTTATATCTTCTCATTAAACATTATTGCCTTTCTACAATAATTCCTGTTATTAAAAATGCCAGCAAGGAAAAGAATAGCCCATCCTGGCATCTTCACGACAAGCAGATTTCTGCATTCTTGCACATCCGAGGGCAAGACATATACCTTCTATCTCTCAAATGTTAAAAATAAACTCTTCTGGCACAAGCAAGCCCTGTAATTGATTGTAACATTTTTTTCTGTTATTTCTCTGAGGTTCTGTGAAAAAATAGGGCTTGTAGCATTATTCATCCCTACAGGGAAAAAAATAAACAAATAAATAAGTAATAATACCAAGAAGCCAGTTGCTGTTTTATTATTTAATAAAACAGGTTTAGCAATATGCAGGCAGGCACACAACAATGGTACAAGAGAAAAGCAAAATGTTGTTGTTCCACCAGGATTTCTTTATTGTTTAACACATTGCTTCCAGAATCTTTTCCTTTATTACTCAAAACCAATGATCAGAAGGTCCTTATTTAAATGTTGTGATTGGGTAATGGATTTGTGTGTTGTTATCTAAAGAAAAAACATCTTTATTGATTTTGGGTAATTTTGCCAAGTTTGGGAAACAATGGTTTAACAGTTTAGTCATCTGTTGGATATCAGATTATGTCCCTGGACTCAAAGATTTTAATTTGATTTTCAGCAGCTGCGTGATTATAGTAGAAAAACAATCCCATACTCATGAATTAAAGAATCACAAAATTTGGAAAATCAATCATCTAATTCAGCCTTTCTCACAAGGAAGGAATATCTGATGGTCTGCCCAGCCTTTTCTTCAAAATCATTTTGAACACGTCTAACATAGAGGATTTATCAGTGGGTTTTCAACCTTGACATCTGCAGTAAAATAATTTCTATTTCATGTTATTAGCATCGCTTTTTGTAGATCATGTCGAAGCTGTGGAATTTGTTTGGAAAAATGGGAAACCCAGAACATCTCATGGTCCCAATGTAAAACTTATGGACAGATTAGGAAGTCACAATATCAACTGAAATGTTGAAACAAACTGGCTCCAGACTGGCAAAGGAGTAAGACAAAGTTGTACACTCTGCCCTTACTTACTCCTCTTCTCCTCTCGTCTTATGTTTGGATAGGAAAATGAGTGTGATTTTAAAACTAGAGGGAGAAACATCAATAAATTCACAATGTTGATGACATTATTCTGAATGATGAAAATGCAAATGACATGGAACTGTTATAATGAAAGCCAAGAAGCATAGGGAAAAATGGGAATGAAATTAAATATGAGAACCACAACAAACAGACTTAGAAGTGACAATGAAGATATCAAAATAGTGGATTAACTATTAAGGTACAGTAGTCAAGAAATACAATGCAGACCAGCAGTAGTACATCAATGAAGTAAAAGGTATTAATTTCCGATATGATGCTTTATGGAAAGAAAGCTGGACTTTAAAGAATAAAACTGAATGACTATTGATGGTTTGGAACTTTGGTGTTGGAGAAGATTCCATGGATAGAAGGTGGTTTTCTAGCAATGGTCCTTAGGAAGGGAGTGGAACTAAGAGATGCATTTATTGGTATTCTTTTTAAACATATTTTAAAAATATTGCCTGCATACATGACTTAATTCTTGAGAAAATATAGATTTTATGGCACCACCAATAGCTGTCTTTTTCTAAATCATGACTGAGAATAATGATGGTAGATTGCGTACGAGACTGGATAGTATAATAATATATTGCAATATAAGCATGTTCTTTACCATTTCCTGACTTAGTCTCTGATGGTTCTCCACACCATTTTAGCAATAGTAGCAGTGGTGGGATGCAAACGTTTTTACTACTGGTTCTGTGGACGCGCCTAACACACGCTTTGCACAAATGCGGAGCGTTAATTGGGCAATTTTAAGCTTGAAAACTTAAGTTACCATCAGCACTGGTGAGTAAAACAGCTGAGGCATGTCAATCCTCTCTGCCATGTGAATCAGCTGACCTACAAACAAATAAAATATAGGACAGAAAAGGGTTGAGTTGGTGGGGCCACCTGTTGACTGGCGCTACCGGATCTCTAGAACCGGTGTGAACTGGCAGCATACCACCACAGAATAGCAGTAAGCACTTATACCAGGGGTGGGATTCAAATTTTATAACAACCGGTTCTGTGGGCATGGGCATGGCTTGGTGGTCATGTGACTGGCTGAGCATGGCCAACTCAACATCACTTACATTGAGGCACGCATCTCCTCGCCTGGCCTCTCATGACTGTGGGGATGCTGCAACAGTCGTAAGTGTGAAAAATGGTCATAAGTCACTTTTTTCAATGCCATTGTAACTTTGAATATCACTCCACACAAGCAAAGTACCAGCAAAGGAGGAAAGAAAAAACTCCAGAGATGTTCCTGAGACAGGAAGTCTAGTCCTGCCAAGAATGTAATAAGGATTAACGGAGAGGCAGTTTCTGTAAGCAACACCAGAATGTTTCCTTCCTGCCTTCCTTACAGGATTAGGCCAGTAATTTCTTCTAACAACCAGTTCTCCCAACTGCTTAGAATGTTAACAACTGGTTTTAGCGAATAGGTGCGAACCTGTAGAATCCCACCCCTGACTTATATACTGCTTCACAGTACTTTAGAGCCCTCTAAGCAGTTTATAGAATCAGCATATGCCCCCAACAATCTGAGTCCTCATTTTTCCGACTTCGGAAGGATGGAAGGCTGAGTCAACCCTGAGCCTGATGACATTTGAACTGCCAAATTGCAGTCAGCCAGCAGTCAGAAATAGCCTTCAATATTGCATTCTAACCACTGCGCCACTGAGGCTCTTAAAGTTTAAGTATCTTGCATTCAATGCATCTAAAGTTTTAATAGTTTTAATAATTTGGGTAGTTTGTAGCAATAAACAATAACAATATTGGTGCCACGGTATTGGCAACATTAAGACGTCTTATTAAAACCATAAATATTTCTTGTTTAAAATACATTTTCATTATTTTCATAAGATGGATGACGTGGAGCTTATTGCAATCTTGAGCTTTCTGGAAATCTAACCTTTATCAAGGGCAGAGCATATGATTGGTCAATGCAATGCTTAAGAAAAAAATCATTCACTTTTCTCTCTGGGACCTCAAGTCAATATTCTCTTTCAGTATTGCCAGCTGGCATATTAGGTGAATAAGCTGGCACTTCTTCTACATCTTACTTTTTTTTTCTGTTACTGGATTTGGGAGGTAGAGATATTCAGTCTTCAGTCTAGGGTAAGTAATTCTCATATCTTATAGTTAATTTGTTTCCTTAATTTAATAAACACATTGTAATTGCCACATATAATTCTTTAGCAATCTATTCCAACAGGGATTTTGTGGAAGAAAAGCTTGGGAGCAAATATGTGGCAGGACGATCTCTGGATTTTGCAACATCATATGAAGAGTCAGGACCTGCGACCCCCATGTTCTTTATCCTCTCACCTGGAGTGGATCCTTTGAAAGATGTAGAGAAACATGGTAAATACAGCGCATCGGAAGCCAAATGACACTACTGCATATGAACTTATTTTATCAAAAACAAACAAATAAAATCCCCTTTCTTTGTTGGTTCCAGGGAGAGGCATCTTTTCAGTTTAGCACACTGCCACAAATGCCATAATCTTATACTTTATTTATACCTCCATTTTTTCCTCCCTTCTGCTCAAACACCTGGCACAGCAGTCCTATTTTCACATCTCTCCGCTGACTGTTGAATTGTGACTAGCAGCCCAAAACAGAGCCTGCTGCAACCTCTGTTTTGATTGGGTGTGAGAAGACCACTGATAACAGAGATCTACATAAAGTAATTGTATTAGGAACTCCTGAGTGAATAATCCCAAAGGCAAAACTTTTCCTGATTCTAAGAGTCCGAGATACAGATGGACCAGATTTCTTAGTATGAGGTTTGCTATGTGGTTATGATGAAAGAGCTGTGATGTGAATGTCTTACACCCCCTTTTGGGGAAATTTGCTATAAAAACATAATAGAAATCTTTTTTTTTTTAAAAAAAGATCAAGACTCAAGATGTTTTGAATGTTACCTGAACAAAATCAAACACCCTCATAAAGATATGCAAAAGGGTGAATCGAAGAGCTGCAAAATGTAGGCTGAGATAGGCTATATCCACCTGGATTTCAGTTTGATCTAGTATGTGCAATCATATGTTTATCCCACTCCTATGAAAGATACGACATCGAGAAACTTACTGGATTTTGACTCAATGCAAAGGCAGCATGCTTGTATGCAAGCCATGTTATCAAAAAGATTAGGAAGCCTTTGAGGTTAGCATCCATTGTGCAGACTTGGAAAATGGATTTTTATTTGTAAACCCTGTGGGTCATGATAATCCATTAATATGCAACACACAACAAGAGTTACAGCCTTCCCTTTGTTGTTTGTTGAACTCACAACTTGTACCTCTGAAAATAATCACAGTTTTTACACAGCACTGGTGTTGGCATGCTGTCTTGGATGGGAATATATGCCAATCAGAGTATGCAGGATACAGATGGATTTGCATCATAAATCTTTGCCATTGTATATTTTAGATGTGTGAAAGGATCCCATGGCTTATTCCCACATTTTTCTCTCTGGACCAATATACATCCAGATGTCAACATCTGGTTTTGATGTATGAATTGTTAATTCAACGGCAGTAAAGACATTGAGCTTTTTGTTATTTTAATTGGAAGGATCTAATGCACATCTGATTGCACTGCAACTCCTAAGAGCATGCGTCTAAATAGAGAAAAGCTCATTAGAAGTGTCTGCAGCAGTTAATTACAGAAAGCTGTGTTAGTTCCTCACCTGTACAGAATATTGTTTTTCTTACCTTTGTAGCAATTCTGAATTGTCAGTAGCAAAAATCCCAAAGACATCTTGGATTGTTCTAAAATCCCTTGCGTATATAGTGCATTACACTTGGACTCACTTGTTCTCCATTTGACCCATGGCAAGTTGGTGAAGCGTCGGACAAAAGGCAGATCCACACTTTCTGCTTCGCTTCCAATCCCAGCCCACTGCAAATACATCAGCACCAGTATCTTCCAGTTTTGATCCAAAACTTCTGTTTTCTGACCCAAGCTCTCTTAAGCCCTTTAAGTGGATGGCTTCTGTGGCATTTTAGTAGCAACCACAGATCCAATTGGCTGTTGTGCTTAGTTTATCCCTTCCCTCCAGTGGCAAGTCACTGTGGATCAACAATTAATAACTATTTTAATAAATATATAACTGTACATATATCTCTAAAAGAAAGCACACGATCTCTGTGCTTTTTTTCACCCCTTGCCTTCCCACCCCACCCAACCCATCATTTTCCTACAGTACCTCCTTACTGGAAAGTTGCCATTATCTTACAAAGGAATACAGGTGCAAAAGAACTAACAATTTCTTATTCCTTTTACTACTGTAGCACCAGAGCAACAATTGCACAGTAAGTGGAGGGAAAAAGTTTTTTTTTTTTAAAAAAAGGTCTGTGTAGTATAAAAGGAGTTACTGTGGGAACTGGGGTACGAAAGCATCCATGCACAAATATCGAAGGAAAGGCAAAGAGATTTGTGAGGATGGAACAGTCCTTAAAGACTGTTAGGAAAGACTACCTGGGAGTTATTTAAAGTGGCTTGCCTTCTTTGCATGGATGGGAGGACCAAGAAGCAAGGGAATAGCTATTCAGGCCCCACTGCCAACTCACAGCACGGTGCCTTAAGAAACATCCAGGAGCACCATGGGAGATAATCATTTTAGGAGGCAGGGCAATATTGTTCCCAAACACAATCTCAATCTATGAAGATATAAAGTACTATTTGTAGTAGTGCACGTGGGGAATTAAACAGCAGATTTTGCCATGAGGCTTAGTCATTAGACTTTACATAGGAAGAGAAATGGGGGAGGATTAACACCTCCACACACCCATATGTGTTGTGCACTGTGATCCCAGATAGGATCAGCCTGCACTCAAGGTAGTAGATTTGGTACAAAGCTAAATCTGTGGCTGCCAATCCACTGCGAGTTGCTGGCCCTGTTTTTCTCTGGATTGAAATGCTTACTTTCTCCTTTCAGGAAAGAAACTTGGCTACACATTTAACAACCGGAATTTCCATAATGTCTCACTGGGGCAAGGTCAGGAGATAGTAGCAGAACAAGCCCTCGACCTGGCAGCAGCAGAAGGACACTGGGTTATCTTGCAGGTCTGTGTACTCTTTTGGTTTGGGAGAAAAGGTCTCTTGCCTGCCTTCAAGCCATCTGTTATCCAGAGAGGTGAAAGCAGGAGAGCAATTGGGAATAGAACAAATCACTCTTTGACAAATCTCCCAGTCTTCCACTGCCTAGAACTCTGTAGAAATACCAGCCAGTGTGACCATTATGTGGGTGGCTAAGAATAATGGAGTTTGCAGACTAAAAGAGCCACCTGGATGGTGCTCTTGTGGGAAAAGCTGCTGTTCATTTAGTTTTACATCAGTACATTTAATCTGCAAATTGGTGTAATGGCTAACTTCTTCAGAAAGGGCTACATAGCCCATGGAAACAAAGCCACTGGTTGAACTCTTCTTTTGCTGCTGTGGCCTTGGGGAGGATTTGAAGGTTTGTATTCTTCATTCCAAAATGACAAGTAGGATTCCTACCCACCTACATACATTGCTGAATGTAGAATTCACGTTCTGATGCCCTGATAAGACTATGTATACTCTTTTATTATGTGTGTGTGTGTGTGTGTGTGTGTGTGTGTAGGAAAAGATATATCAAGCTGAGTTTCAATTCTTTGTCAAGAATTGTTGAATTTAGCTGTGCATATTCTGCATATTTTCATTTTTCTGGCATCTGCCTAGGAGAGAGAGCAGTGTGAAATGTACCCTGAAGCTGTGCCCTCTGATCCATGAAAATTCTTCTCCTGTCACCATTTATTGTTTTGGCATATCATAAGGCATGATTTATTTATTTATTTATTTATTTATTTATTTATTTATTTATTTATTTATTTATTTATTTATTTATTTATTTATTGTTTTTGTCAATTGCTTACAAGATAATAGGTATAAGTAAAAACCTAGTTATGAATACATGGATACATATAAGAAAAATAAAAGAAACAATAGGACAGGGACGGTAGGCATGATTGGTGCCCTACAGACCTCTTAGGAAAGGGGTGAGGTCAATGGTAGACAGTCTAAGGTTAAAGTTTTTGGGGTTTGGAATTTCACTGCAATTTACTTTCATCATTTTAAGGTACAGAAATTAACTTCAAAGAAAATGTGTAAAAAATGTTCAGCAAGTTGAATTCTTTGCCTAGGCTGAGCTACATTTAGAGACTGAACTATTGAGACTCTAGTTTTCAGCCAAGGGAGAAACGTAGGGGTTGTGATGGTAACATTTCAGCTTCAAGAATGAAGATGGCAACTATCACTGAGCCACATGATTGCTTATATATTGGCTCTTTCTATTTAATCATGCAAATGTAGCTCATTTAAATGGGGGGGGGTTTGGATTGATGTGTGGGTGAGAATTTAGATGGTTTCATTAAATATTAAAGCCATGTCAATGATGTACATGTTTTCATTAATTAGGCACACAAGTTTAAAGAAGTCAATCAATCCTGATGTACCTATTTTTTTTTGCTGTTTTTGAAGAATTTAGTGAATTTTTATTTTATTTTATTTTTATTTATTTGTCAAAAGCTTACAATATAACAGAAACAAGAATAAACACAAGTTTAAATACAAGAAATAGGAACTAATAATTGGGGACAATAGGACAGGGACAGTAAGCATAATTGTGCACTTATGCACACCCCTTATAGACCTCTTAGGAATGGGGTGAGGTCAACAGAGGGTAGTTTGAGGGTAAAGGAGTGGGGGTTTGAGCAGGTGACAACAGAATCAGGTAGTGAGTTCCAGACATTGACCACTCTGTTGCTGAAATCATACTTCCTTCAATCTTTATTTATCAATGATACACTTTTATTTTTTTATTTTTTTTATTTGTCAATTGCTTACAAGATAATAGGTATAAGTAAAAACATAGTTATGAATACATGGATAAATATAAGAAAAAATAAAAAAATATAAAAGAAACAATAAGACAGGTATGGTAGGCATGTTGGTGCGCTTATGCACGCCCCCTACAGACCTCTTAGGAAAGGGGTGAGGTCAATAGTAGACAGTCTAAGGTTAAAGTTTTTGGGGTTTGGGGAAAAAAAACCACAGAATCAGGTAGAGTATTTCAGACATTGACCACTCTGTTGCTGAAGTCGTATTTCCTGCAATCAAGTTTGGTGCGATTAACCTTGAGTTTGTATCTATTGTGTGCTCTTGTGTTGTTATGGTTGAAGCTGAAGTATTCATTGACTGGCAGGACATTGCAATGTATGATTTTATATACTATACTTAGATCGGACCGAAGGAGGCATAGTTCTAGGTTTTCTAGGTCTAGAATTTCGAGTCTGGTGGCATAAGGTATTCTGCAACGAGTAGAGGAGTGGAAAACTCTTCTTGTGAACTATTTCTGGACTTTCTCAACTGTGTTAATATCAGATATGTAATGTGGGTTCCAGACTGATGAGCTGTATTCAAGTATTGGTCTAGCAAATGTTTTGTATGCTCTAGTTATTAGTGTAATATTACCAGAGAAAAAGCTATGTAAGATTAGGTTAACAACTCTTAACGCCTTTTTGGCTATGTAGTTACAGTGGGCTCTAGCACTTAGGTCATTAGAGATGAGTACTCCAAGATCCTTGACAGAGTTTGGATCATCAACAAGGTCTTGACTATTCAGCCTGTATTTTATTTTCTGATTTTTTTTGCCAATATGTAAGACAGAGCATTTATTTGTTGAGATTTGAAGTTGCCATTTGTTTGACCATTCTGATACATAGTCAAGGTTTTTTTGAAGGGTAGCAGTATTGCCTGTGGTGTTGAATAGCTTTACATCATCAGCGAAGAGAACGCAGTTGCTCTTGATATGATCACAGAGGTCATTTATGTAGAGTATGAAAAGAGTTGGTCCTAGAACACTGCCTTGGGGAACACCACTGTTGACAGGTACAGAATTTGATAGGACGCTCCCAATTTTGACCATTTGTTGTCTGTTTGACAGGAATGCTTCTATCCAGTAATGCAGGTGTCCAGAGATACCGTAAGATTTTAGTTTTAGGAGTAGTTTGTCGTGTACCACTGAATCAAAGGCTTTACAGAAGTCTATGTGGACATCTATTGCTTTGCCCTGATCGAGTTGTGTAGTCCATATGTTTTTGCAGTGTAAGAGTTGCAGATTACATGATAGTTTTTTTCCTAAAACCAAATTGTTTACTAGAGAGTAGGTTGTTTGTTTCTAAGTGGAGGATGATGGATTGGTTAATAATTGATTCCATGACTTTACAGGTGACACAGCATAAAGAGATTGATCTGTAATTTTCAACTAGGCTGGGGTCTCCCTTTTTGAAGATGGGGATGACCGTGACTTGTGACCATAGTTTTGGCAAGGAGCTGGTCCTGAAAGATTTTTTAAAGATTATGCTTAGAGGTTCGGCTATGGCAGTGGGTAGCTTTTTAAAAGTAGGCACATATTCCATCTGGTCCAATAGATAGAGATGATTTTAGGTTGTGTAGTGCTTTTTCAACATTGTCTTCTGTAAAATCAATATGTATTAGATCATTGCAGTTGTCTGTGGTTTGACTAGGAAATACTGGGCATGATCCATTGCTGTTTACTAATACTGAGCCAAAGAATGTGTTAAAGAGGTTGGCTTTAATAGTGTCGTCGTTGCAGTCTTTACCATTAGGTCTTTTCAGGGGTGGGATGGACCTTGAGTCTTTTAGTTTTTGTTTACAAAATTGTAGAAAGTGTGGGTGGAATTGGTGCGTAGAAAGTTTTCTTCTTCTTTAATGTGATAATTGGTGCATTCAGTTTTTATTTTGTGGCATAAATTTTTGTATCAGCTTTTGAAGTTGGCAATGTGACCAGATTTGTTTTTCCACCAAAGTGATTTCTTTTTGGATTGAAGCTTCCTTATTGTTTTGGATAATTTGTTTTTTCTGGTTTTGGGAGTTGTTAATGGTACATATAGTTTGATGACTCTTTTGACTTCAAGTAAAAATGTGTTGCAATGGTCTTCTACAGTATTGCATCCAGAGAATAGAAATTGCCAATCAAGGGATGAGAGATTGTTGTTTATAAGATCATAGTTGCCTTTTTTGAAGTTATAATTGGGGATTCCGTCGTTTTGATTATTTTTGTGTGGACGTATGCTGAGGCAAAAGTCAATCATGTTGTGGTCACTGTTGGAAAAGGGTTCTTTAATTTGTATTCCATAAATTGAATTCAAACTATTGCAGAAGATGAGATCGAGACAGTTGTTAAGTCTAGTGTTGTTGGTTACTAGTTATTCTAGTCCCAGATTTGTTACTGCATTGTAGAAGGTTGCATGTGTGGGTTCAGTTGTACATTCGTTAAGGGTCCAGATAATATGAGGTAGACTGAAGTCACCAAGAAAGATATAAAGCATGTGGGCAGGATGCTGCCCATGTTAGTAGCGTATTTAGCTTGTTTGCATGTTTGATGTCATAATCAGGGGCTCTGTAACATAGTAAGAACTGAAATGTGATATTTAAGGACAGTTCACAGACGATGGTCTCAGGAATAGCAAGGTCCTGGGTAACTTGGGTGTTTTTTAGATGTAGGGACTTTTTATAGAAGATAGCAACACCACCTCCTCTACGGATTTCATGATCTGATCGGTAAACATGATAGTCTCTTACTGTAGTAATGGAGTCAGGGAGAGATGCATTGAGCCATGTTACACAGACAAATATAATGTCGAATTTAGCTGTATTTAGTAAGAGGAGAAATTCAGGTATTTTATTCACAAGGCTTCTTGCATTGAGTAGCTTGCATTTAAGGCCAGTTGTAGTTGGAATTGAGGTCGTTAGGAGCATGTGTGCCTAGTTTTGAGTGATGGTGGGTTGGATGAGGTAGGGTTAGATGTGGAGTTGTGGGTTGTGTGACTTACTTTTGATACAATCTGCGCGGTAGTCAATGTAGAGATCCTTCTCTCCATTGTCTAGACATCTTTTGAGTTCATTTTGGAGTTCACTGGAGTGGATTCTTTGCAGTATGGATAAGTCTGGTCTTGAGCGAAGTTTTTTGTGGTTGGGATTGGTTTTTGCAATGGTGTTTATTGTATGAATGAATATGT